ATATATAATTACAAACCTGTGTGTGTGTGTGTGTGTGTGTTCTCCCTGTGTCATGTGGAGTAACTTCAGTTTTCTTCCACAGTCTAAAGCCATTGAGTTAGGCTAACTGGGAAAGTAAAAATGCAATAGCATTCTCTTGCTTGTGGTAGAAGATGGTTATATGTTACATACAGTATGTGGTATGTGTTTGCTCTGTTTTTCTAGGTAATCTGCCTGCAGTCCAGCGAGGTGAGCAGAGAGAAACTATATGCCATGCATCTATCCAGCATCAATGGGGTGGAGGACATGTCAACCCTGGCTGAGCTGCACGAAGCTGCCATCATGCACAACCTGTACATCCGCTACTGGGAGGACTGTATCTATGTAAGCCCAGAAGAATGTTCTGGAAGGTCACAGTGGTAGCGCTGTACTGGGTATTTAATAGCCATCTGTAGTTTGGGAAAATGTCTGTTACTCTCAGTTTCTCATGCAGAGCATTGTTCCTTAGTGGAATTCCTAAGATGTCTGTCAGAAAATGTATGTCAACTTCCACTTAATGGCAGATGCTTCCTGCCTGGGATAAACACTATAGAAAAATAGCTTTGTCTTGGAGAAGTCTATTAGTGCTTCCTGTTGCAAGTAACACATAACTTATGTTTGCCAAACTAAACCCTTGAATGGTATAATGGGGCTGAAGGAAATTGCTTATAAATTTGAGGAAACTCTATTTCCCATGTTTTAGGACTGCTATAAATTTACTGCTAATTACAAACAGTGGATCAAAACCAACCAATGTTTGTTGGAATAGCTGAAGTCTGAAAATCACAACAGTGTCCTACCCAGTAAAAATACCCCATACTCCTTTCATCCTTAGTCATGCGTATGTCTTTGACCTGAATATGTCTGGAGGCCGTTGGTGTTATGTGACCCTTCTAGGCCATATTTTGAGAGAGGCGAGGCGGTAATGCAGCTCGGAGACTGACTGGAGCCCTCACAGATCTATCCTTATCTTTTTCTTCCGTATGTTGTTATGCATACGCACTCACATGCACACATGCCGACACATACTGTGTCTGTGCAATCAGAAAGAGCAGGAGTGCCGGAGGGCAGCCGGACAATGCACTGGAAGCCCAGGGCTCCGCACAATGGAAGGCAGCAGCAGGATTGTCTTTGTGTACAGGTACCAGTGTACCACACATAGCTAGGTCTGCAGTGTTTGGACTGAGAGAATATGTATATGTGTCTTCGCTGCCCCTGGTGTTGAAACTGTGGTATTGCATTTAAATTCACATCTTTGTAATTCTGTGCAAACTGCCAGTAAGTACATAACAGTATTACGCTAGTTTGGGCTGCTCTTGGGGTCCTGTGCTATTACAGTTTGGCCCATTTTATTTTGCCCAGGAGTGTACGCATGTTCTCCACGTGTTTTTGTGGGGTTTCCTCTGAGTTTCCCCCACGGCCCAAAAACATACTAAGGCCATACTCAGACTTGGCTCGGTGGCCTTGTACCATGCTGAATACAATTGCCCCGCCTCCCCCCCCCCTTGCTGGTCTACATTCACATTGCACTTAATGATCCTGGTTCGAGTATGATCTCATCATCACCGTGCTACAAGAAAACATAGAAAGGTGACCCGGAGTTGACAATTTGTCCATAGGTGTGAATGGTGTGTGAGTGAATGGTGTGTGAGTGACTGGTGACTGCCGTGAGTGTGCCCTACAATGGGTTGGCACTCCATCCTGTGTTACTCCCTGCCTCGGATAGCTTACGGGAAAACGGATGGGCCTTTTGGGTCATTTCATCCAGAAATAGGCTATAATTAAATCTTATTCATTGATTGAGATCTTGCCTCAGCATTACTATTCACAGCTTTCCTTTGTCTGACTTTATGTTGTAGTATCTATTCTGGGTTTTGCTGCTGCTGCTGCAGATTTCACATTAATGCAGACGTGTAAATTGATGATGTTGCCTTTCAAACTATTTGCTTTCACAATATATCTGTTGCAAGTGTCTCTGGGAAGTGTAACCTAATCTCTAAATGCTTTTAGCTCGCCCTTTATAACCTTATGCATTCCAGTCGATGGCAATATTGAGATAAATCAATGTGACATTATAAATAATGTGAAAATAATGTGAAAAGAAATACTGGGAAAAGAAAGAAAAAAAGAAAAGAAAAACTTGAATAACTGTCTTTTGTCTCCTTGATTTTGCAAAGAAGGACATAGACAATATTTTGATGGTAGTGTATTTACAGTTTTAAATCAGTGCGGGCTCAGTTTAATCTTTGTTTAATCCCCAGGTGCTTCCATAAATAGTATTTGTTTCTGATAAGGAATAGGCAGGTGGCACATGTAATAAAAATATTAATATTTTCTTTAATATTCTTTTTAATCCCCCACACACAGCTCTAAATACTATCTAAATACTCCATAAATACCTCTAAACTTTGCAGACCAACATCGGCTCTATCCTGGCTGCGGTGAACCCCTACAAGCAAATCCCCGGGCTGTATGACCCGGCTGCCGTGGACCTTTACAGTCGCCACCACCTGGGGGAGCTCCCGCCCCACATCTTCGCTGTGGCCAATGAGTGCTACCGCTGCCTGTGGAAGAGGCACGACAGCCAGTGCGTGCTCATCAGGTGAGCGAGCCACACGGGAGCTGTCCCTGCAGACCGCATGACCCCAGCCAAGTCTGTGACAGCATCAGCTCGCTGCTGAGAACGCCACACAGCTCCCAACCAATGAGATGTGGGGGGATTTGTGATTTGCTGAAGGATTATTTTCCTTATCCAAGCACTACGGTAAAATCGCATGGAAGTGCCCTATCAAAATGTGCCAATAACCTTAGTCTTAGGACAGAGCATTACTGTATTGGCAGATTTTTAACAGTAATCTGTTCTGTCAATGCATGGAGGTAAATGAAATAAGTATTGGGGTTTAAGGGTTGAAGAGGTTCCTGTCCATCTGGTGAACTTTCTGAGAATGTTGTCTGAACAATGTGAGTGAGTTTGGTTTCTGGCCTGGCAGTGGGGAAAGTGGTGCTGGGAAGACAGAGAGTACCAAGTTGCTTCTGAAGTTCCTGTCGGTCATGAGCCAAAATTCTTATGGGACCCCACCTTCCGAGAGGACCACCCGTGTGGAGCAGGCCATTGTACAGAGCAGGTGTGTATAAACTTATGGTACAGACCCAGGTTCTCATTGTCGAATGACCGTGAAGGCCAACAATATCTTTTTGCCCTTGTCGCAGTCCCATCATGGAGGCCTTTGGGAACGCCAAAACTGTTTACAACAACAACTCCAGTCGCTTTGGCAAGTTCATCCAGCTGCACTTCTCGGAAGGTGGACACATTCAGGGGGGCTGCATTGTCGACTGTATCCTTTCCCTACCGCATTTCTCACACAGGCTTAAATGTAGGCTTCCTCAAGGCTTGAGTAAGTGTTGAACCCTCTGAGCTCACAGCAGTTCAACCCTCTGAGCTCACAGCAGTTGAACCCTCTGAGCTCATAGCAGTTGAACCGTCTGAGTTCTCAGAAGTTCTAGAGTGTATTGTGAAAGTAAATTTCTGATTGATTATTATCTTTTATTGTATGATTCCTTGACCTCTGTCCTCCAGATTTACTTGAAAAGGTAATTCCACCTCTACCGTGTATCTCTGTTCACTTTTTTCTCCTAGATCTCTGGCTTGAATGAATTCTTCCATGCCAGCTGGCTGCAGAAAAAATCCAGACTAGTGAACTTGGAAGATACACACCCAACTGTTTTGTTTTTTTGGATCAGTGTTTAATTGTCTTGAAAGACCTTTGATCTCTGTTCCAGAATCGTGTGGTGCGTCAGAACCCTGGAGAGAGGAACTATCACATCTTCTACGCACTATTAGCTGGTGCTGATCAGGATCACAGAGGTGAGTCCCACAGATGATCTTGGGTTTTTGGTGAATGAATGCAGAGGACATCTAGGATAGGATCTCAAACATTTTCCTGCCCTCAATGGTATAATTCCAGTTTTGAATAGGTTTTAATGAACTTACAATCAATACACAGGATAAACGAGTATATATGTGAAATCATGAAAGATTATGAATGTTTAACATGCATTATTTATTATATGCATGTAATATTTATGTAAAATGGAATTACTTAAATGGATCTTTTGACCTGGTGGTCACATGACATGATTTTTCTTAATATTAGAGTTGTACTTCCTTGAAGAGCCAAAGAACTATCACTACCTACGGCAGTCTGGATGTGTGAAAGACAAGAGCCTGAATGACAAAGATCTCTTTGACAGTGTGATGGTAAGGGAGGCTGCAGCTGAAGGTGTTGACATGTTTGCATGTGCTTGCCTCTGCTGAGGTCATTGTAAACTTGTGTGTTCATATTCAGGCAGGAGTATTCATGAATGGGTGGTCCGCATTCTCCTCTATCTGTAGGAAGCTCTGAAGGTCATGGAATTCACGGAGGAGGAGATCCGTGATGTCTTCAAATTGTTGTCTGGAGTTCTGCAGTTGGGCAATATTGAGTTCATGACGGCCGGAGGGGCCCAGATCACAACCAAAGGAGGTGAGAAAGCAGTCTGGCCAGAATAAAATTTCCATCCAGACCTTCCCTGTCTGCCCATATTGGGAGTCTTGAAAGCTTAGCATCAGCAGTATCTATGAACAACATTTATGGCATCTGCATTTCTGCTCGGTTCTTCTGCCGTTTACCATATGTTGACATTGCCGTCCTTTTCTTTCACAGTGGTCAGTAATGTTAGTGATCTGCTGGGGCTAGACTCCTTCCAGCTTTCGGAGGTTCTCACCCAGCGCTCCATGATCCTGCGAGGAGAGGAGATCTGCTCCCCCCTGACCGTGGAGCAGGTGGGCGTCCCTGGCTGTGTGTCTCAGACTCAGCTTTCCACATAAACATCAATGCCACCTGCTACAGGCACCACCTGTACACGGTCCCGAGCCAAACACAATCACAATGGGTTAATTACAACATTTGTCTCATTTATATTGTCGTCTGGACATTCCTTTCTTATTTGACTGCCTGAAACATTATAGGAAGTATAATCTGCCATTACTCTAGTGTATGAGACTGACCTGAAGGAGCAGGCTTCATCCAGCAGGGGGAACCATAGTACGTAAAATGACATCAGGAGAAATGACTTAGTCTGGATCTTTTGTATTTTAGCTCATGCTGTGCTCGTGCTTTAGACCATCACAGAGAACACATTGCATGTTAAAATTGTGTTACACAGTTTGTCTGACAAATTGTTCCTTGTTTTTGAGTGACTTTGTGTCATATACCCTCCACAGATCCTACTGTACATTAACCTGTTTTCTAATCCTCACTGCACTAGTAGCATGTTTTTGTGCCAGCTGAGAGATGTGAAATGTGCTCTTCCTTATGTGCCAGCTGAGAGATGTGAAATGTGCTCTTCCTTATGTACCAGCTGAGAGATGTGAACTGTGCTCTTCCTTTGTGCCAGCTGAGAGATGTGAAATGTGCCCTTCCTTATGTGCCAGCTGAGAGATATGAAATGTGCTCTTCCTTATGTGCCAGCTGAGAGATGTGAAATGTGCTCTTCCTTATG